GTTTAGTTTAATTAGCACATCGATACTTTCCCAGTGGAATGCACCTAATTTGGGTTTATTGTTAGCTTGGTTATTCTTTTGGCACGAAGTCACTTGAATGCGTTTAATATAATCTTCTCGGTAATAGAAAAATACATGGTTAAGTCTCTCAAAAGGTAAATAACAGGGTGAGAAAATATGATTTTTTACATATCAAGACATTCGATAGCGTGTTTCCTTTTTTAATCCTATTTTTTCCTTAATTAAGCATTCAAAGATGCAGTTTGTTTAGTTACGTCAGATACGCTATAGTTGCAAATCGTCTACTAATTACGAAGTAACATTTTATTATTTCATGAATAAATATAAAGATAGAACCATTTTTTATTTTGCGTCTCCAGAATTTAATTCTTAATTTATTAATAAATACAAAGATGAACAATCAATATTTCGTGTGTTTTTCTTTTGTTCCCTCAATAATAACATTTTAGGGATGATCGTTGAATCGTTATTTTAACCCTTTGCATTCGACGATTTTTTCGTTACGAGAAAATGGCAGTTCAAACATTTTCTGCTACGAAGTCAACGATATTCTTTATTAATAATAAAATTAAAAATAAAATTAATAAATAAGAAATCATAAATTAACACGTAGAATTATTTCTTTTCAATATTGCACACATTGTTATCCTATTTTTAATTCGATATTTTAATAAATATCAACTTTTGGAATTCTTTTAACGACGACTCAAAGTAAATATGTAAATAACGAAAAATTTTTAATAAAGTAAATAATGTAATGTAATAATGTAAATAAAAAAAAAACTTTGCAAACTAATTAATGAAAAAAGTAAAATTTTTTGGAATTGTGACTTGTGGTGTTTTTCTTTACAATCACAAATTTATTTGCCACAATGACAATAACTATTGTCCATAACAAGTACTGTATTTGTATATTGTATTCGATAAGTATAAATATGTAGAGAAGTAAATATAAACAATATTTCAACCAGGAAATTTGAAACTACTCAAATGTACATACCAAAACCGTTTATAAACGGCGATAATTTTGTTTTGTATTTCCAGTTTCAGTAATTACGTTACTATTTTTCTAACCTTGAGAAAGTACGCAAGCTAAATTACATTTTCCAATATCGAGAAGATAATAGGTTTCTTTTCAAAGATGAGACAATAGCACATGCCTGCTTAAATGAGAATCACCTATCTTTATCGAAAAATTTAATACCTAATAACGTTATATAACAACGAATTTTTACGTAACAGGGAAAAGAGCAATTATTTCAATTACTGTATTTTCGAAAATTTTCAGCTCCATTTTTGTATATATCAATACTACATACTACATGTTATATTATATATCATTGAATCAATGTAAAACTTTATGTGAATATATCACTTGGAAAATTTCCATTATCGCATAGAAGCATAAATTTAAGCACAGAAAGTAACCAAATGCTTAATTTTTTAAGAAAATTCGTAAAACCTATAACGTCCAATAAATCTAAAAATAAATCCTGAGCTAAAGTAACTGTAATATCGATTAAAAGAATTGAAACGAGTAAGTATTATCATCGGTGTATCCAAAGTAACGAATAATTACGATATTATTCAATACATGCGGTAATAACGAGCTGGAAGTATGAAGAGTCAAAATGAAAGTAAAAAGTGCGAAAGGTACCGTGTACCGAAAATGAAACTTGAAAGCGGACAAATGCGGGCATAACTGCCGGTAGAAACCTGAGTCATTTGACAGACTGACTCCACGTGGACTCTTACGTTCACCGAGTATAACCGAGTACGTTCACCAGGGCAACGAATGCACTTGCACTTTTTAAGAGAACCTGTTTCCACTGTAACACGAACCTACATCGAAAGAACCACACCCACTAAGAAGTCGGGCCATAGATCTCTTTGGAAAGGAGGACCTTTCCGTTAGTCTGCTAGAGCGAACAGTAAGGCATGATTACGAAGATTACTGAGAACTATTTTCCTCGGCACGCCATCATTTTGTACTCGAACCGACGTATTAAACGGGAACTTGTTGGTCGTTAATTGGTGTTATTTAATCAGCTGTCAGCTGTATATAATAACCGGGTTCGAAAAACTGGCGAAATTTTAAAATTTCGTCATTCCATTTTCGTAATTTTTATTCATTTACCGTTGGGTTTGATGTAAATAGGAGTGGCTTAAAATAAATTCAACCTCCAAAAATTAATGATATTGATTTTAATAACTAAATTATCACCTAATATTTACTAAATAATCTTATATTATAAGTGAATATTGCTAACTAGTTTAATTATTGTTTAAATGAGTAATTACAATACTTGTAACGAATTAGTTATCGAAATGAGCAATTATAATTGTAAATTATAAATATAAGAATGTTATTTACTTAAATTCTTTTTGGTATGTATGAAAGAAAATATTTTTTTCTTAACTATTGAGGTACCATACATTCTTTTGCATATCTCGTTTATGTATATAATTTTGAAGTAAGTATTATGCATACAATTTTGAAGTAAGCCATTCTAAAAAATATAACTTTTTAAAATATTACTTGATAAATATTTTAAAAGATTAGAATATTAGCTATATATGAAGAATATATTTTAATAATAACAGTTATTTAAAATTGCATTTTTAATACTCGAGTTATCGTTATAAACAACTTACAATACAGACATCATATGGTATACTAATTTAATATTTAATAAAGATAGGTGAAGAAGAATATTGTAACACAATAAACTTTAGGTTAAGATAGAAGTTTGAGTAATAATAGATTCCCAACCTTGTACTCTGTCTTTGATTCGAGGTAAGTGGGCTATTTGAAAGAATTGCACCACTATCTTACACAGCTGTTGCACGATTAAACCTAAGAACTCGATGTTTATTGGAACGAATCATCGCACCTAAGGGAGAATGTAATTTCATATTCACAACTATCGCATAGCCTACGGGAACATGATGTAAAACATAGATTTTACAAATCTATATTTTACATTATTCAACACTAATAACTTAAACAAAACAAACAAATGTTAATTTTTAGTAATTTCATTTTTTGTTTTTGCGATTACAATTACATGATTTTCGATTATTTTATAACAAGGCGAATATTTAAAATATTTTAATATTTAATATATATGTCAATTCACGTGATTTATATTTATAAAAATATTATTATATCATACTATTTATAATACGTGAGTATACAAATGGTTGACAAAAATTTTCATAATTTCTTAACTATTATTTCAGAAAACAGGATTAAATAGTTTCAGTATTTATTTTTCCTTATCTTTTTATTACAGAAAATATCAAATCAATTTAACCAATTTCATGAAATTGTATAGAAAATTCGCTTATATCCAGTTCTTTTATATCGAACGACTAAAAATAATTTTGAAAATCAAAGACTGAGATTAAAAATTTTTGAATACATTGGAAGCTACAAATGTTCAGTAACTTAAAAACCTAAAGAAAGGAGATATTTGTCCAAAAAAAAAAGTTATTAAAAATATACATGCATTATTCTGTGTATTGTTATTATAAATTCGTACAATTAAATTACTGAAGCGTTTTGCGGAGAGTTTGCAAAAAGTACTACAAATAATAATACTTAATCCACACGGTACAAATACTTGTTATGACAGAAGAAATTTATTTTTATTGCTGCGCATAATGACTTTTAAAATTTATTTCTGTAGCGTTTGAACGTTTAAATACAATGTAAACCTTTTCTTATATACAGCAAGAATATTACAGAACCTAATTCTCCATCTGCCCACGTGCGAATAGTTTTCACATATTATCGTTATGACGACTTCTTTTATCGAAGAGATATAAATAAACAAGCTTCGATAAAGAAACACATTTTTTTTGTTGAACTCCAAAATTACAATATGAATCCACTTAAACCGACTCTTCTGCTAAATATATTTTTGAATTCTTTTGTTCGATTATGAAAACTGTGCTACATACATACATTCGTGTATATTACTTTTACGTACGGTTTACATAAGTGAAACAAGAGAAATTGTATCATTTTGTTCCTTAAGGTTGCTCTTGCGAGCAGGTAAAACTTTCACTGCGCGTTTATTATAACGTGCTCCGTACATGCTGTCTCATGCGACTAACCAGGAAAGCTAGCGTTTTCCTGTTTTTCGTTTCATATTTCCCCCCTGGTGAAAACGGACAATATTCATATCGATAAGAAACTTGAGATTTTTAAGAATTTCAGTCAATAATGATTAAACGATTCATAATTTTCTTTCTATTAATCTGGAAGAAAGAAATATGATAATTTGAAGAATGTTTACCTTTATATCAACTATTACACTGGCATGTTGGATATTGTGATTATTTTTATTTTCATTAAATTCTAACAAATTTATGCAGTCAATTTTGGTATGAAAATTTATGCAAATATATGGAAAATAAAATATATACTTAACAAGAAAACTATCCAGAAACATATACTTTTACTATTATAATTAACTATTACTATATATACTTTTACTACTTATATTATACGTATTAAAAAATGTCTACGTTTCGATGAAATATTTTATATCTTCTAAAATTAACAAATTAAAATAGGTACATATTTACAAAACGTAAATTGATATCAAGAAAGACTAAATTCAAAAACGGTATTTTTCTATATTCAAAATTTACAAAATAGGATGATCATACTAATTAAAATAATTAAAAATTTATAGAACATAATAATTTTATTAATTGAAATAATTGAAAATTCACCAAATTTAAAACAGTACCAAACAAGGTCTCGATTAAAAACGATACTTTTCTACCTTCAAAATTTATAAAATACAATGATTTTACAATTTGAAATAATTACAATATTACGAGACACAAAATGGTACTAAAAATGTTTAGATTTAAGAACAATATTTCAAATAAATTTTACAAATTTGAATGATTTAGCAATTTGAAATAATTCCAAATTTACAAAACATAAAATCCCATTTCAGAATGTTTGCGGTAGTAAATTACTACACGGCAACGGTGCTTTTTGCACTTGTTCACCGATCATTCTCAGCGATGGTTCTTCCCAGGCCACCTTCTTCACAGAACTACATCCAACGCTTCGATCGAAAAGGAAACGAACAGAAGCTTTACGAGGGAAAGTCTTTGCAAAGCTTCTTACAAAATCCCAACATGGAAAGAGCAAATACCAACGATTACAGGTATTAATTACATATCTACAACTAGTTATATGTTTTCTCTGTCCTAGAAGAACTCTCAGTTCCAGGTACCTTTCCTCCTTCTTTGACCACTTATTGACTAGTAGCGAAATTACATCGTACCATTTACCTGCCGAGACAACTTTCGCTGTTAATACAAAGGTACATGATAAATTGGTCACTGTTGCTAGGATGGGTCAAACGAATTTCGTTGTGTCAATAGATAGAAAATTATAGAAAGAAATTTAGTTTTGTAATTTGTTACGTTACGAAATAATTCTCAGATTTGAATATAATACTTTGAAATTCATTTAAAAGATTTGTTTGTTTAATTTCTGTAAAAATAATTATTACAATATGGATTGCTCCAATTGTAATATAATCATCGTAATACAATATGCAATATATTATACAGAGTGTTTAAAAAGGAGAGTCCAGCACTTGAAGGACATGTAGTACTAAACAAACGGAGTAAAAAGTGCCTAATCATCGTAAATACTTTCAATCAATTCCTTCAATGTAAAATCGATTTTTATTATTTCCGAATATTTGATATTTCGTGTTGGATTCTTCGCAGCACGTTAAATATAAATATAATTGTAGAATTAATTTAGAGGTATATTATTTCAAACTTGTCATAATCACTTAACTTGAATTGCTTGAATTTCTTTTTGGGGGTTACTTAAATACCGTACAATTAATGTGCCTATTCATCATTTTATTTTATAATATTCATAGTGCACGAAATTTATTTTATTATTATTTGAAATTAAAAGTAATTTAAATAATTGGAGTAACAATTTTCTAAATTTCAACAATAACAGCTTTTTTCATCATACATAAATGATTTTTGATTATGACAACAAATAGAAAATATAACAAAAGAGAGGTACAATGTATATTGTATATTTATCGTATCAAAGAAGGATTGTACTACATTTGCTTCTTTGAATAAATCGTTTATCGATATTATAGTAATAATTTTGTCGACAACTGTGAGTTAATCATAAATCGATTTTACGTTGAAAATATTGGTTATAAAATTCATGCTGAATAGACACTTTTCAATGCTCTTAGTGAATAATATAAGTGTTTCAAGTTTCACCTTACTTTTTAAACATCCTGTATACAATATATAATATTACGTATAATACATGGTGTCCTGTAAATGCGAGTATAATCTAAAAAAGAGCGATTCTGTGTAAAAAAGGGTAAGTCGAAAATGTCGAATAAAATTTGCATATGTTCTTGAGAGAATTAAATTTAAACATTTGCTGCTATGAGTGTCTTTAACTATATCTCAATTTAGTAAATTTTAATATAGATTATCTTTAATTGCGTTTCTATTTATTATTGTATGTAATGAAATTCATTCATGTATTAAAAATTTTATCAAAAAGTTGTTAAAAGTATTGTATATGCAGTATGATTCGTTATGTCCGGATATATTTATATACATGTATACTCAACAAATATCTAAAGTAAATTTTTCCAAGAACAGAGTCCTGTACGATAGAAATTTATTCCATGTTTTTGACTTATGTTTTTCATATAGAATCCCTTTATTCCTAATTATACTATCACTTGTAAAACACTCTATATATTCAATATTATATGTTTCAGTAATTTACATATTTTTACATTAATATTATTTATTGTTATAGTATAATTCTATTTTGATCGGTTTTTAATTTTAATATACGTATGTATAATATTACAGTACTATTAGAATCAAGAACTGATGAAAATATTTTATAAATAACTTTATTATGTTTATCAAAGGCAGATTGTATAGATCCCATCTTTAAAATTGCGTATGCATTAGCAGCATACTATAAAAATTATTCATAAACGTTAATAAGTCTCTTAAATCTTGTTTGTCTCACGTTGTCAGTAGACAGATAGTTTTAAATTACATCGTGTATCTTACGTCTTGACAAATTACAATTATTATGTAGTTATTACTACTACTATAATGAGGTTCAGGTTAAGATTACATTGCTTAAAGGATATAGATAGTCATGTAGCATAACATGATACCTTTATCCAGTTTTTTAACATAGATACAAGTTATCAGAAAATTTGATATACAGAATTATTTTTATTATATGTAGTTGTATCTAACATATTTAATTTGTTATATTATTATTCATTCTTTCTTTTGTTAATACTTCGATTTTATATAGTTATGCATGAGCATAGAAAATTTACGAATTTTTTATACGAATTTCGATATGAATCTTTATTGATATGAACTAATATTAATATTATACTTTTTGCATATCTAATTCAAATTTCGGAAATTATCTGAGAAAATATTCTTTCGGATAATTATTCTTCATTCGTATCTAAAAATTTATTCTTTGTCATACGAATATTGTTTTATTTTACGTATATATATTAGCAATAAATGAGAATTCCAGTAAAATTTTCTTATAAATTTTTGTTAGTGGTGGATCAAATTTAATAACAATAAGAACAGTTATTTATTTAATTTCAAAGATTATCAAAGACAAATATTACGTTGAAATATAATTCATTTATCACGATTACTCTCTCACACGTTTTCTCACTATTAAAACTCAATTGCAACTAACGTATGCCAAATCACTCTTCTTTTTTCTTTCTTCTTTTATACATTACATTGACATACACAATTCACACAACACCTCAATCATCCCATGCATACTTGTTCCACTCATTCCAATACATATGTATTTAAAAATCTATGTAACCATTACCACAATTTTACTATATTTATACAAGGTGATCCATTTAAATTGAATATTTAAATTATTCCCCTTCCTATTGAAGTTATAAAAGAAATAACTCAACATTTTCCTATATCTTCAACAACTTCAACGGCAAAGAGATAATTTAGATGTTGTATACTATTGTATGTACAAAAATGTACATAAGTAATAACCAATGTTATTAGTCGTATGAAAGAACATAATAAGCCATAAACAAGTGGAAAAATCGTTATGTTTAATAGGTTCGAAGAAAATACCTTACGATCTTACGAGATGTGCAGTACATACAAGTACACTGTAATTCTTGAACATAAACAGACCATAAAATATGTATACGTACTCATAAAATGTCATTTTAAGATATTTGATCACTTCTTTCAAGCATATTTCATAAAAAAAATTTTGATTATAGCTTATACATAAATTGTTATTATCACTGGATTAATCTTGTGATTAATTTATACTTGACTTCTCGATTGACAATTATTCTGTTTATTTAACTTTAACTACTAAATTTAACTTTCATTAAATTTAAATTTAACTTAAATTTAATTTTTAAATTCTACCACTAAATTTCATATTCCGTGATTCGTGATAATGTTGGTAATGTTTTGACTCCAAGGTAAAGCGGTAAAAACCAGCACGATACGTAATCTCATCTGGCGAAGCAAAATACTGTAATTATACAGTTTGAATTCTTCGGACAGCGAGTAAGAAATAATGAAGCAGAAAGAATCATCGGTTGAAGTTAGGAGTGCTGTCACGATTTCATGATACAAAAATATGGCATTAAGTACTACTACAAATAGATTACGGCTGTCATATGTTATAAATCATAATTTATAACTCGTAATATAATACATTCACAAGGCAAAGATGAAAACTAAAGAAAGAAATTTAAAGATAAAAATTATATCCAGAAAGAATAAATGTCTTACAGCCTCAAAAATCAACAAAGAGTTAATAGGATATAAAAGATTTATATACCTATTATCAACCAGTCCTCAATTATAGACGATGATAAATGATTTGTCAAATTTGTCTTCAGCTTTATATTTATATATACAAGAAAGTTGTATATGTAACAGATTTAATGACTGAAATCGTCCTTTTAATTTTGAACATTTAAATGTATAATTCCATAGGTTCAGCTTCATAGATATTAGTACTAAATACAGTTATCTAATTATTTAATTAATTTTTCTTGTTTTATACTTGTTAGTACTTTAAGATATTATTTATTCACAAAATATCGTATTTGATTACGGTAGCCATTGCAAAAACTCATCTTAATGGAACTGATCATTTATATACTATTAACCTTTAAACATCTTTTTTATAATATACGCCTACATGAGGAAGGAATATTTAATATTTTCCATCGAATTCAAAAACAATATTCACGATAATGGAGAAAAGAATAACATCTGTAAAATCGATTAATTTTTTTATACATGTATAGAAAAATTGTTTGATATAAGAGTTTATAATTTAAATTAATTTTTGTAATCTTGCAGCCGTGTGTAGCTTTGCATTTAATATTCTATTGCATTCGAATCTTTTCAATTTCTATATACATAGAATGTATATTGTATATGTAGAAGTGTTGCATCTTATTTTGACAAAAGTATGTCAATATAGACACATCATTGGTTAAGAAAATCTAAAATAGCATCAAGTTCTGAATAACTCCCCGAAGTAAATTCTTGACTATGAACCAATTAGAGTATCGAATGTGATTTGGATCACGTGTTAGAAACAGTTGTCAATGTTTAATCGTGATTTCCTGGAACATATTGAAGAAAATATTGAAGTCTATTTACATTGTGTGACCTTTTGTTTTTTATACCAAGAGTATAATGGTCACTACGCATGGTTTTCCAATCGTCAAGGGTTTATCATAATTGTTACAACAATTTGTTAAATGTTTCTTCTCTAACCATTTAAGTATTGTTTAATTCCGTGTTTAGTCACTTTTAAAGTTATGGAATAAAATAACATTTCTAACATTATTTAAGCTATAATATTTCTATATTTGATATGCTACAAAAATCAATCTAAATACGAAATTCAATTTTTCAAAACGAATCTTTATTTATTATTTTAGAAAAATAATGTACGGTAATCTATAGTCTGAAATAAGAAATATAAATTTATGATCCTTTTTTTGACATATTTTTTATATATTTATAATTTGTAATGCTGAAACACTCGTGTTGAAATTCTCTACTCGAATCAAATGATGATAAT